ATGCATTTAGCTGGGAAGACAGAGCAAGCCAAAGCTGACCTTGCCCGGCTGGCGATCATCCGGAAACAGCGGGAAGAGGCTGCCAGGAAGAAAGAAGAAGAGAGGAAAGGTGAGTTGTGAGCTCGTGTGGCTGCCTGACTCTGGTTCTGGGCAAGCCACCAAACCCTGCGCTTCAGTGTCCTCATTGTGTGATGGAATGGGTTTGGGTTGTTGGCTAGAGACCCAGCCTGTGGGTACATGCATGGGCCTTTCTTGTCACGTGGAGGTGGGCGTTCCTGCATACCACGTCCTAGGGTGCTGGGAGGGTCCAGCAGCAGCCCGGAGTCAGACAATAGTTTGAATCTAAGCAGAGCACCACCGTGCACAGCAGCCGATGGAAGCCTCAGGGACGCAGCTAGGGCAGACCTTCAAGGTTGGACGGTCTTGCTAAGGTATCTGGTGCCTTGTGTAGTGGGGAGAGCTGCCTCGGGTAACCGCTGTCCATCTGAGGGGCTTGAGAGGGTAGGGCAGGGGTGGGCTGGACCTCACAGTGCACCCCGGATGAAATCTGGCCCAGCTCTCCCTCTTCTCCCTTGCTCCCCCTCCAGTAGGGTTAGAGGTTGGTGGCAGGAGCTGTGGGGAGTTGGTCTGGTTTATAGGGAGCATTTGACTCATGACTACGCCTCCTGGTGTCACACACCCCTCTGTACATGTGGGGTCACAAGAGCCCTTAGGGATCTGCTGTCCTGCCTCCTCACCAAATCACGAGGAAACCGAGGCCTAGAAGGGGGAGATCAGCTGCCCCAGGGTTGTTACACTACACTGGAGGTAGCCTGCTATCCCAGCTCCCCACTGGTAGCTCTTTGCTCACAGGCCTCAAGCAGGAAAGGCCTTGGACTGTTGTTGCCGATTGGAGGCTGCAGTGCCCACGGGGAGAGGGTGTAATTGCAGGGTTTTGCCTGGGGGTGGTTAGAGGTTCCTCTAACAGGGGGTGGGCCTGTGTCAGGGGGCCGTCCCCCAAACTGGACACCAGCGTGCAGTGGCTTCCACAGGAACCCTCTTTCCCCCGGGCCTGTTCCTCTGCCGGCTGAGCCCGTTGCCCCGAATGTTCTCTGTGGTCTTTGAGCCCTCAGTGCCGTGCTCCCGGGGTGTGTGGGCGCACGTGTGTCGGAGGGTGGTGTCACGTTAACACCTGCCCTTCCCTTCCCGCCCTCAGCAAAGGACGATGCGACTTTGTCGGGAAAACGGATGCAGTCGCTGTCCCTGAATAAGTAGCACGGCCTGCGGGAGGAGGCGCCAGGGGTCCGGCCGCGCCGCCAGGCCCTCTGCCGAGTCTCGCCTGCCCCGTCCTGGCACCGCCGCCGCAGCAGCCCCTCACGGCAAGGAGCCCCCGCAGCCTGGGGCCTCCTTTTCATCTTGGCACAGAAGTTGTTTGGGGGGATGGGGGGGAGGGCTGGGGGGAGGGGCGGCTGCTATCTTTGAGACAGAAAGACGGGGGGCAGCATCTCATATGTAACCACTCGGATGTTTTTGCTGTTTTTAGAATTCAGAACTCTTGTTGGGGGTGCCTGGGAGGTGGGGTAAGAAGAGCTTCCATTTGTCCCGTAGGTTGCCCGGTAGGGGCTGACTGTGAGGGGGGCAGCTGCTGACAAGTTTGCAACAACCGGCCCCCATCTGTGTTGCCTGGGTGCTCACTCAGAGGGGCTGTCGTCTGGGAGCCCGTGCCCGTGGGTCCCTGAGGGTCACGGCTCGTCCCCAGCCAGTCCCCTCTGCCCTTTCCTGCCCCACCCCCACCCTTCTGGCCAGCGCTGGGGCCCATTCTTAACCCTCCCTGTTGATCATTTCAAGAAACCTCTGTTTACTGTGCAGCACCCAGGCAAAACATACTCCGCAAGTCCAACTTGTATATTTGGCAGATTAAACTTGACATTATCGTAATCTTTGTTCTGTGATCCATTTTTGGGCCCTTGTGCCTGGGCCCTTTTCCCCAGCAGGGCATGGTGTTGCTCTCAGGCAGGTCCGCCCCACGAGGTTCAGGCAGCACCCAGCCGGGTGTGGGGACTGGTCCCTGGGCATCTGAGCTAGGAGAAACCTCGGGATACAGAGTTCGTCCCTCCCCTCCTTTAACCCAAGTGTGGCAGACCCTCAGCCAGAGTGGCCAGGGACCGGTCCACGGTCCATAGCAGCAGCACCGTGCTTCCCTGTCCTGCCCTCCAGGTGCCCCTGGTGTTCACAGTGTCAGGATTTCAGTGCTGGGAGGAGCATCCCAATAGCTGGCATGACTGCCGGGCATGACCTCATGCCATCCTTACCACCCTGGTGGGGATGGCAGCAGGGAAACTGAGGCTTAGCCCATCACGTGAGCCGCCTGCAGACTCGGCCACTGTGCGTGTCCCTGCTCCCGCACCCCTTCGTCACGGGCACTCCGCCTTGTGAACACCAGCATCCTTTGCATACGGTCCTGAGAGGTCAGTAACCAGTGCCAAGCAGGGGTTTGGCCTGAGGTCAGAAAGGAGGATTTAGTGGCAGAGATGGAGTTGGGCCCCTGACTTCCAGGGACTCCTGCCACGCCCCCTGAGCTTGACCATGCTGGAGGTCAACAACCCCAGGAGCCCCAGAAGGGTTACCACAGCTACCGGCATCTGCAGCTCCCCCTGGCCTGTGGAAAATCCCTGGACCTGAGGAGCGGGACTGAACCTCAGAGGTCGGCCAGAGCCCCCCACCCCTTGGAGGTCGTGCAGAGCTGGTTGAGGTCTGTGCCGTGAAAATGAGGTTCTCTGAGAAGACGAACAAGGAGGTGGTGGCTGTCTGGAAGGTTCACGGACAGAGTACCCTGTCTTTGGCTCTGGGGGCTGCCAGCTGGCCAAACTAGAGCCACACGGGGTGGTGAGGAGGTGGCCTCTGACGTGCTGCCAGCTGGGGGTTTGCAGGAACGGCTGGGCCAGCAGGGCTCCCTGTGTGCCCGGGACTTCTTGTCTGGTTGGACCTTGGTGTGAGACTAGAAGCCAGGATGTCCCTGGTGTCTGCGGGCCTCCAGGGGGTCGTACGGATCTCATCTGTGTACCTGGGTGACGTGCTGGCAAGACTTCTGGCTCGAAGCATTTCCTTCCTGGCTCAGCTAGCGATCCGGACCCATATCAAGTACGTTTCAGCAGGTGCCCCTCCAGTGGGGCTTGGAAGTCAGACCTGAGTTTGGATCCTGGCTCTGCCGCCTCCTGCCCGTGAGACTGAGGAGGTAACTTCTTTCTCTGGTATTGTTTTCTCTTAAAAGGGAGTGACAAGGCCGCCCACCCCTTTTTTAAGATTTGAGAGAGTGCGTGCACATGGGGGAGTGGGGTAGAGGGAGGGGGAGGGAGAATCGCAGGCAGGCTCCACACTCAGCCCAACACAGAGCTCGATCTCACGACCTGAGCCGAAAATCGAGGACGCTTAACCAACTGAGCCGTCCAGGTGCCCCAAAACCTTCCCACAGTGGGGACATAATGACTCTTGTGTGTTAGGATGTTCCCAGTTGTGTTCCCCTCCACGCACCCAGGCCATCCCCGCTCCTCCCTGCCCCTCATCCCCCGCATCCCGCTGGTCCCCAGGGCCTGTGTTACTCCCAGGTCACCTCACACCCACACAACTGCACCAGCAGCCTCATGCGTCTTCCCATTTTAGTGGCCTGATTCCCCAGAATGCCAAGGACCTCCCGAAGCTGGTCTCTGGGGACCTTCCCAGTCTCACCACCCACCTCATCCCTGTCTTGCACATCAGTCCTCCGGCTCCTAGAAAGGTCAGACCCTTGCCCACAGCCCTTTCGGCACGTTATGACTGGCGTGGAATCTTCCCTCAGTCCCAGTCCCTCCTCTTCTTGCTCCTCCAGCTCCCTCCCCAACACTGGGTTGTCATCATCAACTGCCCCCACCAGACTATGAGCTGCTTGTCCGCTCCACTGTCCTCAACATCCAGTGGGGCAGGGCGTGGAAAGCCCGGCCAGTGGCCCTAGTGTCCACCGCAGTACAGGGTCCAATCCCCTTCCCTGATGTTCTCCCCACCTGCCACAGAAGCCCAACCCTGTCCGACCTAGTCCTCGTCCTCTATTGCCTTTTCCTTCTCCTTAGAAGCAAAACATTGAGCCTGTCAGTTTTAAGTCAAGTACTGTGTCTCTAACGAGGGCAGACAGGTGACATCTTCGAGGCCCCTGCAGCCAAACAAGAGCATGCTTGCTGCTCATCCTTCTCAGAGTGAGGGGAACCTGCTCGTCAGGGTCTCAGAAGAACACTGATACTCTGGGGCCACTTTTCAGCCCTGAGGTGAGCTATAAAAAAAAAAAAAAGGTATGTGGACACCTCCCTGGACTTCCAGGGCCTGACAACAGTCCCTTCAGAGCTCTGGGACCGGGAGCTCACCTTACAGCGGGCTGGTACAGGCTGGGAGGGCCTTGGCAAGCAATTAGAATAAGAGGAGTTGTGAGGCCTGTCTCCTGGGATCTTAGAATTTCTACCTCATCGTGATTTAAAAGTCAGCGGGCCTTTTCCAACTGGGGTATATCCTGACGGATAGGCCCTAGAACAATCTGGGATAAGGCGTGTTTAGGTATCCTTCATCTTGCAAATGTAAGGCCAGTTCATGATTAGGATCTGTGGGTGTAACTCATTACCTGGCTGTGACTCAGTAATTAGGTAACAGAAGCATGTGTTACGCAGGGAAGGCCGTCTGCGTGAAATAGGAATGGGGGGGGGAATGGTCTAGGGAAATGATACGAATTTATCAGAAACCAGCTGCAAACATCAAGTTGAGAAATCAGTTTCCATTAAAGCCCAGCAGCAGCCTGGAACATGCAAGCACTGGTCTGGGAATCCGACTACCGAGTGACAGGGAAGCCACCAAGGTCCAGCCTTGCCCTGGCTGGACTGCGAGGGAAAGGGGAGCAGGGAGGAGAAGGCCCTTGGGCTTCAGGATCAATTTTTCTGGTAGAGCAGGAGTAAGGAACCTGTGCCCGTGCGAACACACGCTCCTCCCAAACACAGGAGACCAGCTCTAAGATTGCTTTTTTATTACACCCACGTTGTTGCAGCTCATGACCAGCACAGTGCTTTGAGAACATTTTTGTTTTTAACAAATGAAAGCAGCTCTTTGTAAGAAAAAGGCACCTGTTCCTTCAGTAGGTCAGAAAAGCTTCCCCTCCCCCCCACCCCCCCGGCTGGAGCAGTCCCCGGGGGACCCAGACTGCTACCCTACAGACATTCAGCAAAGCAATCCTTAGCCTCCCTGACCCCCTCCCCCAGCAGTTGGGATGAGGGACACCTATGCCTCATGGGTCATTTGATCTTGAGGTCCTTCAAGGCTGATTCCAAGCTCTGGAAGGAGACAGCAGAACAGGCTGGTTCTCGGTTGTCCCCCACACACCTCACCCCCAGGGACCTGACCCCTAGCCAGCCCAGCCCCTGGCAGAGGACAGAGAACCTAGTCTTTGGAGCTGGGCAGACTGGGTTTGAATCCCAGCCCTAAAGGGAGGTGCCCCAGGGGTGCCCCTCATCTCCCCCTGCCCTCATCCCAAAGAAGTACCTTCCTCCTAGAGGAATAAAGGGGGCTATCCATCGAGGAGGGCCCAGGGGAGGAAGTGCCAAGTTGGGCTAGGACTCACCTTCACGTCCCAGATGCTCATGCCGCCATCCATTCCTGTGGTGCAGAACTGGGAGCACTTGGCCTTCCCCCCGCTGAGCACCGAGATCTGGCTGCAAAGAGGAGGAGGGCTTGATGGTCCCAACTGTGGCCCTTTGCTGGACTCAGGCCTGCCCACCCTCCAGGAGCTCCCACCCGACTCCGGTGAGAAGTGCTGGGCTGTGCAGGTGGGATGCGCCTCGCAGAGAGCCGGGGAAGTGGGCCGGGAGGGGCTGCAGAGGAGGGGCTCGCGAGTCTGCCTGGAGGAGCAGTAGGGAAGCCCAGGCAAATGGAAGCCGATGTGCAGAGGCCGGGCACGAATCCCACGTGTGTGGGCGATGTCCAGGGTGAGGGGAGTGTAGTAGGATGGGGGGAAAGCAAAACCGGGGGCTGGGAGGACCCGGGGGGGCGTGCTGACGAGCCCTGAAAGCCGAGCTCAGGCGTTGGGTCTGAAAACGACACTGGACCTGATGGCCGCGGCGGGGGGTGGGTCAGGAAGGGTCAGGAAGTCCCACCGTACTTCTCCCCGCTTGGCTGCGGGGTGGACACCTGGGGCTGGCAGGCCTGGGGCGTCGTGGACAGTTCCTCACGCCTCATCCTGCCTCGCTGCTCAGGGAGGCGGCAGCAGGACCGTTTTGGCCACGGCCCTGCCCATGGGGCTGGTGGCTCTCTGGTCGTCCCAGAGAACCATGATGGTCCCCACAGTGCCTGCGCTGCCCTCACCTGATGCTGTTGTGCCACCCAGAGGTCGCCCGCTTCCTAAGCCAGGGCCCCCCACTTTTGACACTGCTGGGAGGGGAGTCAAGTCAAGGTCGGTCCCGCCCTCACCTCACACTGTTCTTATGCAGCGAGTCCAGGCCAGCGCCCGAGGCCACACTGCCCTCCGAGCTCGCCTTCTTGTCCAGGTTCTGGAAGCGCTCTCGGGCCGTCAGGCCGCGCTGCGAGCTCTGCTTGGGCACATCCAGCCGCCCGCCGAAGCTCAGCGTCCCTGTGGTGCCATCATAGGTAAACAGCACCGGGAAACAGTCGTGGCCCTACGACAGGGCAACAGGGCGGGGAGGTCACAGGAGCGTGGCCCGAGGGCGGGCACAGCGCCCCGATCTTATGCATAGGGAAACAGGCTGGAGACAAGGCACGACACCAAGGGAATCTGGTGACGGGACTTGGGTGGAGCCCTGAAAAGCCCACACCAGCCCAGAGACACAACCGGGCCCACCCTGGGTATATGGACAGGGACTGGGTGCTGGGGGATGGTGGGATCATCTAGGGGTGGCCGCCTTTCCCTGGAAGCTCGGGGACCTTGTGCCCTGCCCAACCGGAGAATACCCCACAGCTGGACGCTTCTGTACGCAAGGCAGGCCTGAGCCCGCCCTCACTGTCCAGGACCTGTGGGTGTTTGCTGAAGGGGGATGTGGGGGGAAGAGGGGAGACAGATCGGTGGGCAGGAGGAGAGCGGCGCCCTTCTGGATGCACGGGAGAACTGTGCTGCCCCCACACACCCACTGGCCGGTAAGACGTAAGCAGAAACCTCAGGGTCCAGGACATGATTTTCTGCCTCCCCCTTCTCCCTGCATGGCAGCTGCGGCGCATGTTGGAGACACAGCCCCCCCCCCGCCCCCAAATACCTGCACTGGGGCCTTGTTATAGCAGCATAAGCCAGCCCGTTCTGACCAAGGAGGAAGAGAAGGTGGGGGGAGACCAGTGGAGAGTCGATCTAACTAGCACCGCTCCCCTCCCTGCCCCTCCCTGTCTCACCGCTGCCACCAGACTGTTGTCGGTGATGAAGGTCAGGGCCAGCAGTGGCAGCGTTTCAGAGGCCAGAGTCGCGA